CCAGCAGAGGGCAGTGTAGCTTTAAATAAAACCAGCAGAGGGCAGTGTAGCTTTAAATAAAACCACTTTTCTTTAAGGTGAAGTTGATCAGTTTTCTGTTAAAGTGCCTCAAAGAAAAAACAAACATTTTGTTGTTTCTTCTGTTTGATGTCTTGTTATAAACTCCAGTATTTACAACATTTACTGTGATCTGTTAGTGTTTGTTTAGCAGCGGCGGCCATCTTGGATGGGGCAGATAGAAGTGGAGATTTTCATGCAAAAATAAAAAAATGTTATTTCTGTTTTGTCTCATTTTACTGTGAACCTTTAAAACAAACAGTAATGAAACATGTTTATTTAGACTTAAAGCTGTTGATTTATCAGAATGTTTGACTTTATTTTATGTTTTTCATTTGAAACAAAACATCAAAAACATTTTATTCTTTAACGAATGCTTCAGCAAACTGGTTCTAGATTATTTTTTATGCTACTTTAAATTTTAGATACTAATCTGCTGATGTTACATAACATTTCTATCTTTAGCTATCACATATGTTTGTACTTTTTCTACTTTTATCTCATCATTAGACGTTAACTTCAGCTCCTCTCTGCTCCTCCTCGTGCTTCAGTTTAATCGAAGCTGAAGTTTAAATCAGATTTGTGATTTCCTGCCTGATAAACGTGTCGTAACACGTTTGTTTCTTACATCCTGACACGTCTTCCAGCAGGAAACCGTCCCTCAGGTCTGATTTTTAATGTTCTCGCTGTTCGAAGATGTTTCAGCTGCTTTTATATTAAAACTTAACGAGGAGTTTTGTGTCTCATTATCATAATTATTTGCAGGCTTTTCGTTTCGGGCTGTTCAGCTGTTTTTTTGGGAGATATTTCCTCTCTCGGCTCATGTAGAGCTGTGTCAGTGTGCAGCCGAACGATAAAGGTTTTCCTCATGTCTGAGTTTTTGATACCAAAATATCTGCTGAGGATCTGGACCAGATTTTAGTTTCTTCATCCTCCTCCCAGATACGGGTGTAAGAAAATGTCGATACACTGAAATATCGCGATATTTCATTTCCCGATACTGTATCGATATTCTAAAGCCCTGTATTGACTTTTAMTTAAGGTTTAAAA